GCCTCTCTTTCCCTCCTCATCCTTCTAGCCTGTGGACAGCAGGCTTTCTCAGGTACTCACTATAGCTTCTGAATTACTATACCTTTGCTTTATTTTCTGGTACTTGTCCACCTTTCTCTAGGATTTTCCAAGTGAACATGAGGAGTCAGGGCTTTCAGGTGGTTATCATGTTGAGATGAGGGGCCCAGGCACTGGGGGCTGCATACCGCCTGCCATGTGAGATAGTGACTGTACTTTTAGTACTGTTAGGGACTAAAAACTGGTGGTCAGCTTAACACCAGCTGAGTTAAACCAGGATGTTGCTGAGCATAAATAAATGTTCCACCTGAGGAAAGTTGCCAGCATAAATAGAGACATGAGGAGAGGCTTGGCGTTCTGGGTTTCTTTAAGTGTTGCTGTGTGAGCCATTGGTTCTCCAGGAGAAATTCCTCACGCTGGCTTTCTGGCATGTACTTGACTGTTCTTATCGTTGGAGGAGCTCCAACACGGGGCCTCCGTGTCACTGAAGGTGACTGAGGTGCTTTTCCGAACAGCCCTGGTTTCTATTATGAGCATGACTTCTTGGCTCCAGTGTAGAACCCTCAACCTACCCGCACAGCTCCTTCACCCCCATTCTAGACTTTCCAGCTTCCACTGCTGATGTTTGGGCTTTCCCAGCACGGATCCATAAAACAGACTGGTGTGAGTCCTCTTTGTGGGCTCTAGGCCTCCAGTTGGACTTGTGCGAGGCACTGTTATGGGCTCTAGGTTTTCATCTGGACTCATATGGGACATTGCTGTGGGCCCTTGGCTGAATATTCTGTCTTTAGTGTTGTGTACATATTTCTGGAACTTTTTTTGTTTAACTCTGGGTGACCACCATAGAATAATATAAATTCTGTGTCCTGATTCTAACTGTTCTTACTACTGACTACAAGAAGTCATAACAATTTAATCACATCAGCAGTATTTAGTGTGCTTTCCATGTGCCAGGTATAGTGAATGCTTCACATGCACCCCTGCATTTGAGCCTCATAACTACTTCAATATGGAAGACACTAATGTTATTTCCGGTTTACAGATTTAGAACAGTAAGGGAAACAAGCTCACCCAAAAGATTAGTGAGACAACTGGAAATTTGCATCTGTGCTGCCAGATTCCCAAGACTATGAACCTCACCTCTATTTGTATACTCTTGTTGATGTTCACAGGGGACTTTTCTGCTTGATGTTTGATAATAGTGTGTGATTTAAACATGCACCTGCCACCGCGCCTTTGTACTTGCTGTTCCTTGTGCATATTAAGTTCTTCCTGTGGTCTTCAGGGCTCTCTCCCTCACTTGCTTCATGTCTCAGCCTAAATGTCACTTAATGAGTCTTTTTCTGAACATTTTCAATAAAACAGCATCACTTTCCTTTTGCTCCCGCACCCTCTATCCTTCTCAACCTTACTTGATAATTATGTGACACATTACATCTATGTTTACTTGTTCATTGTCTGTCCCCAGTAGAAGGTAAGTTTTGAGTGCAGATTTTTTCTATCTTATTCTCAGCACACTGATTAGTACTTGGCATAGAGTTTGCCCTTAAGCAGTTTACAGGACTGAGTGAAAAGGGCTATAATGGGAGAAAGTTAGGTTACTCAGATTCCAGTGGGATAGACTAACAACCATCAAGAAAATAAACACAGGCAATGTACCTACACACTTTTTAGGCATCATTAAGTACTAGGAAGAAAACTCAAGTGGAATGGGGAAATGAGAGTGAAGGAGGTGCCATCACAGATGGAATGGTCACAGAAAGCCTCACAAAGGAAAGTTAAGCACAAACTCAAGTGAATGAGGGAGTTTGGAGTGGTCAAGACACAGAGGGTGCTGGAGTGGAGCCACCCTAATAGGTGATGGGAGATGAGGTCAGAGGGGTGACAGGGGTTGAAGTCAGGCGGTTGTTCACCTGCAGTTATTCTGGAGGCCCCATTTGGTATTTCCCTGCTGGGTTAGCCTCTGGAGGATGCTGTAAAAAATTGCTATAATGTGAGTAGTCTATAACATCAGAACTTTATTTTCTCACTGTCTTTGAGGCCAGAAATATGAACTCAAGTTGTAAGCAGGGTCTGCTGTCTCCAGAGTGTCTTGGGAGAAGGCTTCCTTCCTTTCTTTTATGATCTGATGCTGCTGGCATCCTTTAATTTGTGGCTACATCACCCCAGTCTCTGCTTTTATAGTTCTGTTGTTCTCTGCTCTCCTGGATGCTCCGTCTCTCTTTTTTTCTCTCTGTATCTCTCTGTCTTTTTTGGTCTCTCTCTCTCTCTCTCTCTCTCTCTCTCTCTCTCTCTCTGTTGGTGTTTTGGTTGCTTTTCTTTCCTTGCTGAGACAAAATACTTGATTGCCAAAATGTATGAAGGAAAAGTTTATTTAGCTCACAGCTTTTGGAAGTTTCAGTACATACTCAGCTGGCTCCACAGCAGGGTGGCATGGCTAAGGGGCTGCTGTTCATGGTGGCCATAACCAACAAGAGTGAAAAGAGCAAAAAAAAAGGCAAAGCATGCCTCCTTCCTTCCCTGATATTGTATGCTAGCTCCCCACTCCTGGGTGGCTGTAGCACTCACACTGTCAGTCCCAGTGATAGACAACAAACCAATCACCAACACTAGAGTCAGATGCCTCCATGACTGCATGAAGCTTGAGGGGGCCATCCAAACATAAATAATAGTCAGTCAGTCCGTCTCTCTTTTTCTCTGCTCTTTGTTTACTAAAATAAATCAAGGAGTACTGCATCTCCATACTTACGTTGAATTCAGGACCCAACTGGGTAATCCAGGAATTTAATCCAGCTGCAAAATTGCCTCCCTTAATCACGGACATGTAAATCACAGGTTCTAGAGATTAGAATATGGACATGTCCAGGAGGGGGCAGTATGTAATAAGCCTATATACCTATCCTCCTTAATGTCTGATAATACAATGACTTATTCAATTTCGAGACTCAGTTAATATCCTCTCCAGCTTACTTAGTTCAAGCTGTTTTACTGATGTTATAAAGAAGAACATCACACTCAGCATTTGTCATCCATTTCCCCCTGGAGTACGTACTAATGAATGTTTACATGGAAAGAGAAAAGGAAATTCTCAGATATGTAATACCTACACTGTACACAGTACTGATTAATTCTTCAGTAACTGTGAAACTGAATCTGTGCAAAGAAGTCCACATTATTATCCCTGCCATTTTGTGAGGTGAGGCTACTGATGGATCACTGAGGTCACAGTTCCAGGCCAGGAGTCTCTAATTCCAGGGCTCCCACACTTTCACTTCTGTTTGAGATTCTATTTTTTTATTTTAAAGATAGTAAAAATCCAACAAAACAAAGGCAATCAAAACAGAGCAGCAAAATTGGTATAGAACTTCAAAGCAGGATACTAGGAAAACAAAAATAGCTACCATAGTATATTTTGTTATCTTCACAATAGTTGTCCATTTCATCAGGTATAGCAAAATCAAACCAAAACCAGTGAAACCAATCAAAATAGAATATTGAATAAAGCAAAACAATTAAAACAAAGCAAAATAGAGAAATATTGGATTTCAAAGACAAGACAGAAGGAAATCCCCCATATTTGCTATATTGCATACTGTCATCCTTCTAATAGATGCTCAGACCGCTGGCCCCAGTTCTGCAAAATCAACCACACAATACAAGTATTTAGTTGCTTTATGTGCCTTGGTTGCTATGAACTCAGTCTGTCCTCCGAACCTAATGGGTTGTTTATGATGAGGGGTGGGGGAGAAGGTTGATTCTCAGCCAGTGCACTGGTAGGCTCACAGGAGGTACTGACTTTTCTCTTCCTGGGACCCATGCAGCTTGCACAGCTTACCAGGAAGGCTGGATAGTTGGCTTCTTGTTGGATGCTCCAATCCCATCATGGCTGATTCTCGGGAGGTACTGACTTCTCAGAAGCTGTACAGCTTCCATTTGGGTTTCTATAATACTTTAAGCAAGATAAGACTTGTTAGGGGCATCCTGTGTGATAAAGAATGTTCGACAGCATCTTTGGTGCCTACATACTAGATGGCAGTAACAGCATGCAAATTGTAGTAACAGAAATATCTCCAGACATTGCTGAAATCCAGTGGGAGGGGTGGTGGTGGTAGTGATAGAGACAAATCAAGAAGGTGAGACTTCATTCTCAGTGGGAGAAATGGTGGGAATTAAGCCCAGGTATTCAACCTACAGATAAGGGCCTGTCTTCATATTACAGTTGTGGAGATCCCTGGTTATCTATTGATTTCTACTCCAGGATTTTCTAGTGAAAGATTTCAGCTGCACATATTGATGCCACATTAAAAACTGTGTTTCTTAAGCTTCCACATAAGAGAGGTGGATAAATTCCTAACTGTGCCTTGTTTGCTTTTGTTTTGTTTGTTTAAGATATAATCTGCTATATATTCTAGGCTGGACTTGAGCTCACTATGTAGACCAGATTGGTCTTGAATTTGCAGTGATCCTCCTGCTTCAGTCTCTGATATGTTGGGATTATTGGGATGTATCACTATATTCAGCACCTGTCTGTTTTTTTTTATGTCCTTTTGAGACAGGGTCTCACTATGTGATTTAGGCTCACCTTAGGTTCACTTTGTATCCCAGGCTGGTCTTGAATTTGCAATGTTTCTCCTGCTTCAGCCTCTTGAGTGCTGGGATTACAGGAGTGTACTGCCACCCTTCCTGGCTCTGTCTGTTTTTATTTATTTATTTTTTTGGGACATGGTCTTGTTTGGTAGTACTATGCAGTACAGTATAGTGTAGTGTAGACCTCACTAGCTGAGGCTGGCCTTGAACTTCAAGTGATCTCCCTGACTCAGCCTTTGGAGTGCTGGGATTACAGGCATAAACCACCACACCTGGCTACTGTCTGTGCTTTTAAAGGTGGAGCATCTCTCCTTGCCCTGCTTCTTTCTCATTCTGGCTCCTGGTTGTTGGATATTTCAAAAGAAATCAACTTTTTTCTTGTTTAAATCGCTTTTTGTTTTTTAAGGCCTTGTTATTGTTGCTAAACCTGCATTCTGTTACACTGACTCTAGCTAGCCATGGGGAGAAGGAAAGAAGGAAGGAACAGGAAGAAAGGGACATAAATGGAAGGGCACTGGTGGTCTGGCTAGATGAATTGTCATGCCCAGAGAAACCTGGGAAGAAGAAGACTTTGAGTTGAGTCTGGAACATAAAGAAAGTATGGAAAGGCACAGAAAGAAGGAGGCATCCAGAAAGGCCTGCAGCAGGGACAAGGCTCTGAAGGACAAGGAGGGCTTGATCAGGCTGAGAAGAGACATCAGTGAGTGAGCCAGTGTCAAGTGAAAAATTTTACCAAGTGACTTCATCAAAGTGCAAGGGATCCGTATGTTTGTCTCAAAGTCTTGGGGGGGGGGCACTTAAGGGCTGCGATTAGAAGCAGAGAAATGGCTGAAGATCCTGGCTTGTCTCCAACCCAGAAGACTGACTAATAGGTTTAGCCTTCACTCTTGCCTCTTGCCCATTCTAAACTGTGTGCAGCTCTGCTGAGCCTGAGGTCTTGAAGTCTTATCCAGGACATCCCTGGAAGGCTGCCAGATCTAGTAGGAGGGCAGCCAAGGTCACTGTCTTCAGCCCCAGGACCACAGGTCTCAACACAAACAGGAGACCTGGGGACCCAGGGCACAGCTTAGGCAGGACTCCTGGTGAGCACTCACAGTGTGCACCCCAGGGACATTCCTGGATGAGTCTGGGCCCAGCTGCTGTATAGCCCCTGGACTGTTGTCATTCCTATAATGGGAGAGGTAAGAGGTCACCCTTCCCTTCTGCCCTGGGCTAGAAGTCTTACCCTTTACTCTCCTTTTACCCATCTGTGTCATTTCAGTAGCACCTCTAACCTGTGCTAGTGAGAGAAAACTGGCCATTTGTTGGATGCTCAGCTCCTCTGCCTCAGAACCTGAAGCAAAGACTTGCTAATGGGCTGCAGTTCATTGGTGAATTCTGTCTCTAGAGAAGTAGGTTTTGCTGTAATAGAGAAAAGCTTTCTCACATTTCCCTTATGTTTCTGTCCTGTCAATTGCCGCTTTCTGAGCCCCTCTTAAGAGCTAGAGTTGCTGAGAGAAGCCTGATAGTTTCTGCCTGGTGGGGACTGGAAGTCAAGTCTTGCAACTGTACAGAAGTAGTCAGACCTTCTGCCTGAGCATCTCTGGGGTACAGACAAAGTCCAACTCATCACTGTGTTTCCAGTGCTTACCACATTCAGGAAAATCAAAGGGTATGAAAGAGGTGTTTCTCAAAATCTTGAATGTTTGGTGGAAAACAGAATGGGGAGAAGTTACCTCTACCTCAGAGGAGGAAAACATTTCACAAAGGAGGAGCCATTTGTGTTGGGCCTTGAAGATGATTAGGAGATCTCCAGAAAAAAAGGAAAAAGCATTATAGATAGAAGAAACAGATTAAGCAAAACCATGGAAACTAGGAAGAACTTGCTTGTTTGGGATGTGGTCAGAATTCTTTATGGACCATCTACCCTTGAAACTTCCTAAGCAAACTGTCTCACCTTTCACCCTCAGCTTGATGCCCTGTGCAGACAAATATTGAATGTTGGATTTCTTATGAAATTTCACATTTTAGTAGGTGCCTGTATCCTCAGTGGAGACATCATGCAGAAGAATATTAAAGTCATTGTTGAAGGCCCACACTACTGTTACATTGGGCTGGGAGATGACTTCAAAGTTTTAAAGGCCTCTTGGCTCAGATCAGTCCCCTGGAACCCTCTGATGAGGCCAGGGGGACTGCACAATTTAAGAGGGCAGTGTCTCCAAAAGTCACCAGCACTAGCTCCTGAGGCTGGATAATCCTGAGCTCTAGCCTGAGGTCTCCAACTCCTGAAGCCAAATAGAATGTCCATGAGGGATTATCTTCCTACCATAGCCTTCTCATTTCCTTCCTCATATGTATCCTCCCCTTCCCTTTTCAGGATTTCTTCATTCATCCATTGCCTTACACTTTTTTTCATTACTCACTGGTTGATTAATTTGATAAAGAAGTTCTGAGAACCTATGTAGCAGTGCTGGCAAAGCAGAGCTCAGCAAGTCTCCCAACTATGCAGTCTTGAAGTCATTCTCAGCATGGTGATGGAGTCATCTGAGCCTAGAAACCCATAGGCTTCAGGACCATAACACCTTGGAAGAAGGCAAGGACACCTTCCAGAAATGCAGTAAACAAGTTAAAATGAACCAACCTCTGATACACTCCATTTTGGAACTTTACTGGTGGTTTCACAAGCATCCATTCTTCTCTTGAATCACCCAAAGGAGTCATGAAGTACAATTTTGTTGTCTGCCTTGTGGTTAAGTACATAGAGCCAAAGGGACTGATATAAAAGGACATAATTTATTGAATAACTGACCCAGGATTTGGATAACCAAGTCATCACGTTTGGATTTCTAGACACCAGAATAAATTACTTGAGATGTAAGGTAGATTACATGATCAGCCCCAGGCCTTCACTGCCTTAAGGTAGTATGGCATATCCGTATTCTTGCTGTGGCCTCCTTATCGTGCATTTGGAGCTGAGCCATGTGACTTGCTATAGCTGATGGGCAGATAAGATAGAAGCCTTCTGTGTTTCTGCTGTCTTCTTGAGAAGACCATACTCAGGTTGCTGCTACCTCTGCAGCCTGGGCCATGGCATGAGAAAGGGAGGCAGAACTACCCCAGCTGCCCATGAATGTGCAAAGGAGATTGAAATTCTTATATATGCTACTGTGATTTTGTGTGATGTGGCATATATTGTGTGTAAAGGTGAGGAAAGAAAGGAGACCAGAGCTAACAAGTGGGCCACAGGGCCTCATGCACGCCCTTCACAAGCACAGAAGTGCTCTTATCCAGCTTATCTTCTGAGGACTTATGCAAGCATTAGTAGGTTTCAGCATGCTCCTTGGTGACACTGTGGATATAGATGGAATAATCACAATGTAGGGGCTCCAATGTCCTCTGGATTATGAGCATCATCCCAGGGAAAATGCCTTGTTTGTAATACAAATTTCCTGTTGGTCTGACTGTTTGCCTTGGTCCATTTTATCATATCATAATGCAAGAGCTGCCCACTGTACACCTCAGTAAGAGAATGTCACCTTCTCCCACCAGCATTGGGCCCTTGGCTGTAGCATCTCCTGGTACTCACTCCCATTGCTCTGCTCAGAGGCTCCTGCAGCAAAGGAAGGGGAGGGCAGATCTTTCATTAGGCAAAAGGTATTTGGAGCCTTGAAAAGTAAGCTTCAATCTAATCATTATGTAGCCAAGAGCAATTACTCAGGACTAGAGAAAGTTGTGGTTGGAGAGAAAAGAGAAAGGGGATAAAGTGACTGGCCATATAAAGAGCACAGAGCTATTTAATGGAAAATTTATGAAGAATCAAGAGAATTTAGATTGATCATCCTGTTCTGGGCACTTCATGCTCTATCTCACTTATTCCTAAAATGCTGTTTGGCAGCATTATCTTATTTTGCAACATGGGAAAGTGAACAGCAAAAAGAGTTAGGCAGGCTACTCTATACATTTTTTTAGGGATTAAATTGTGTCTTCTTCAGATGTGTAAGTCCAAGTCCTATGATCCAATTTTTTAGAATGTCACTGTATTAGAAATAGGGTCTTTAAGGAATCATGAAGGTAGACTCTGATACAACATAAGTATCCTTTTAAAAAGAAGAAATTTGGATGAATATACAGAGTGAAGACCCTTTGAAGACACAGAGAGAGAGAGTTGGCCATCTACAGGCAAAGGAGACTGAGGAAGAAACCAACACTGAGAAAAGCTTAGTCATGGATTTTTAGTCTTAAGAGTTGTAAGAAAATACATTTTTATTGCTGAAGATACCTAGTCTGCTGTACGTTGCAGTGGCTAACTAGCAGACTAATACATCACTCAGTAAGACGGTGATAGAACCTTTATTCTAGTCCTCAATACCTGTTCCAAAGGCCCCTGATTTTCATCCTCAAATTTCACCTCTCAGAGACATAGTTTGTGTGGGGTCATGGTTGGTGTAATACTCTCTTTGCCTTTTTTGAAACCATAGTTGCTGATGGGGTGTTGTAGAAAGGGTCTATGTTGAGGTCAGGGTGAACTGTTGAGTTTGACCTCAGAGTGAGTACCGAGAAGAGGACTGAAGTCTTTTGTGGAAGTTCTTCTACATCTGACTGATAAATTTCATCACATTTGCTTCTCTCAAGGACCCAATGTTGCTTGAGTAGCAATAGGGCCAAGCAATCATGGACCAAAACTTCTGAATTTTTTAGCCAAAGCAAACATTTCCTACTTTTAAGTTGTTTATGTCAGTTATTTTGTCACAGTAATGTAAAGCTGGCTAAGATATATGTACTAGCAACAAATAATTGGAATTTTAAATGTAAAGCATTAATTTCCCTAATACAATAAAAATTAGGAACTACCCCATGATAAATTTGACTAAGGATCTGTAAATTGAAAAGTCACAAAATACTGCTGAAAGGAAAGAAAAATCACTTAATAAATGTCAAAACTTATCAATACTATTCATATTTTAGAAGATTCAATATTGATAAGATGCCAGTTCTTCTTAAATAGATGTATAGATTCAATACAATCCCTATTCACATGGTCCTAGCTTTGGTTTAGAAATTGAATCTAAGTTTCTTAGGGTAACTAAAACAAATTGAAAAAGAACAGCATTGACAAACTAACACTACCTGGACTTAATACTTATTATAATGATATAACAGTTGTGACAGTATGGAATTTATATAAAGACAGGTAAACATATCAGTGGAACTGAATATAGAGTCCTAAAATAGTCTACATATATGGACAACTGACTTTTGATGAAGATGTAGACAATCAGCAGGGAAACGAATCTTTTCAACAATGATCCTAGAATAATTAGAAGTTCACATACAAACAAATGAACCTTAATTTATATTTCAAACCATATATAAAAATTAATTCAAAATGTTTTTTAAATTAAGGATAAAAAGAAAAAACAGACAAAGTACAAGTTATACAGAATTTCAGAAAAACTTAACAGTAGGAAGTCACTAGTTAATAGATTACATATTGTCACCTTAGACATAGTTATTCAAATTACAAAATTAAAGAATATAAAGTGAACATTCAAACCGTGAGACTGCAAACAGTTCTGTTCAATGATCCAACAAAACTCAGTAATATGGTTATCTATCTTATACACTTCAATATACATGCAGTTATATCCTTTAGAGCACTTTCTTTTCCTCTCTTTTGTACAATAACAATTACACATTTTGGGTTTTATTACTCCCACAGTTCTTATTACTTTTTTTGAAGGGAATAAAACCAAATGTGACATAACAAAACAGAGTTAGTCAAATCAAAAGGATGGACATAATACATACTGTAAAAACAAAATACAAGGTGAACAACATTGGTTACCATAATGCCTCTTGCTATCTTAAAAAGAATTGCCTATACCATCAGTTATAATAAAATTGAACAAAACAGTAAAGAACAAAACCAATAAAACCAAAACTTTGGAGATATTACAAGAATATCAAGAATACAAGAATTTCAAAAGAAGATAATAGTCAAGCCAGAATGGGTGTCATAAAGAATCTTATTGTCTTCACAGTTATTGCCTATACCTCTCGAACTTGGTAGTATCAAGCAAAACAGAATAGAGGAAAATCAGTCAAAACAAGATGGTGAGAGCAATACAGGGTTTCAAATCAAGTTAATAGGAAATCAAAAGCGGTTATATCCTGCTTTTTTATTTTTCCCTTAATTGAAAAGATAAAAATAAAAAAGTAAATAATAAAAAAGGAGATTGAGATAAAAGAGGACATAACAACAAAACAGCACAGGTCAAAACATAACCATTTAAGCAAAATAGTGTTTCACCACCAGATATCCCAATATAAAAGTAGTTACCGTAGTGCTCTTTCCTTGAAATCTTTGAGTAAAACTTCGTATACTGTAGCATCAAACATATCAAGACAATGTAAAACCATTCAAGAGAATGGTTTTTACAGGTATTACAGGGTACTTAGAACCAACTAACAGAAAATGAACAATGGTTTCTGTATAATCTCCTTGTCTATAAAAGTTTTTGTTTATATTATCACATATAATAAAATCCAATAAGATGCAACATGTTAAGACCGATGGAGACAGAAGAGCAAAAGCTTGGTGGGACTTCAAAACAAGATGATATTAAATCAGCACTAGCTATTATGATGTTTTGTTTTCTCCAAAATAGCTGTTCCTACCATCCAACCTTCTCTGCCTCATTTCTGTTGAGCTCTTTTTCTGTCATTAGTTGTCAGTTTGTCTTCTTCATTTCATTTTCTGCTCCATTCATTGTGGCCTCTCTGCCACTGTTTCTGGAATCTTGATATTTTTCTTTTTTTAGAATATCCTGCAGGATTCTCTGTAGAGTTGAATTGGTGGTTGCAAATTCCCCTAGTTCCTCTTTATCCTGGAAGCACCTTGTTTTTCCATCAATTTCTAGGGACAGTTGTGCAGGATATATCAATCTTGGCTGGAGGTTATTATCTTTCAAAGCTTGAATTATTTCCCCCACGCTCTTGGTGATTTGATGGTTTGTACCGAGAAGTCTGCTGTAATTCTGATGGGTGTTCCCTTGTAAGTGATTTGTTTCTTGTCTCTGATGGCTTTTAATATTCTGTTCTTATATTGGATTTCTGGAATTTTGATTATTATATGCCTGGGTGTTGTTCTGTTTGGGTTGTAGGTGGCTGGGGTCCTGTATGCCTCATACACCTGGGTATCTTTACCTTTTGCTAAATTAGGGAAATTCTCCTGGATTATTTCTGTGAATAGCCTTGGTAGTTCATTTGTTTGTGTCCCTACTTCTTCTTTTAGATTATTAATTCTTAAGTTATTGATCCTCTTATCATCCTCAAGCCTTTGTATTATTGCTGTTTGCTTTCTTGTTATTTTTAAGAAGTTTTTCATTTCATGCTCCCCCATTACAAATCTGTCCTCCAGTTCAGATAATCTATCTTTAGTTTCTTTGAAGCTGTTGTACCAGCTTTCAATAGAATTTTTAGTTTCCTGGTAATCTCTTTGAACCTGCTTCACGTATTCTATGTTTTCTCTATTTTCTCCATCAAACAATTCTCCCCTTTTTTTCTGTTCTTCCATTCCACTATCTGTTTTTTCTTGGTTGGTGCTTAGAATTTCTCTAGCTATTGTACTTAAATCTTGCTTTAGGTCATTAAATACTTCACTTTTGAACTCGTCTATGAGGTTCTGGAGATATCGCTTTTGTCTATTGGTGCTATGTCTGATATTGCATGTTTTCTGTCCTCATTCTCCTTTACATTTACCTTTCCTGGGTCAATGTTCTCAGGATTGGGGGCTGAGGACCCTTTCTTGTTGCTCTCTCTTCCCATACTTTTTGTTCCTTCCATACAAGCATATATAGGAGGCTGTTTCTTTCTTTGTCGGTTACAGTTTGTTTAATTGCACCTGCGAGGTGTTCCTGCCCACTGCAGTGTACTAGGGAGACACAGACCTGGGCAGCTTCTGCTGGGCCCGCCCCTCCAGGTCAGTCAACCTACTGAAGACTTCACTGCTAGGGTGCACCGCCAGGTGCTGGGACCTGGTTTGGGCTAGCCTACTGGGTCTTAGTCTGCGGTGTCACCCAGGCCAAGCGCTCCCCACCAATCCTGCTTAAGAGGGCAATATGCAACTAAAGTCACTGCAGCATCCTATTCTGGCTAGTCTTCCTGGTCCCAGAATGTCCTCTGTTGGAGCCTCCTAGTCTATGGAAGGGTCCCCATTCCTCTCACTCACCATAGGTTGATGCAGGGCTCCCCGCCAGTTCCACTCTCAACTCCTTTTGCCAATCCCCACTCTCAGAGGTTTCACCTCTCTGTCCCTGCTGTGCCGATTCAGACGCAGCAGCAAATTCAAATCATGGCTTCCAGAGGTGCAGGTTCCAGCTTCAGTGCTGAGATTTTATCTGTTCCAGTTATAGCACCAGAATTGCATTTCCAGTTGTTTTCTCTCATCTTAGTTCATTCCTGGGTCAGCAGGGTATATC